GTCTAGGTACAGAACTTTTACGAGGGTAAAAAAAAATATATATAATATATATATAAATTCTGCCAGGAACAATAGTCTATTATTTGTAACCCAGTACTCAGGAAGCAGAGGCAGGAGGATTACTCAAGTCTTAGGCCAACCTAAGATAAAGCTTTTGAGACTCCACTCAAAGAAAAAAAACAAAAACAAAACAACAATAACAACAACAACAACAACAAAAAAAAAACAAGCCTAACTCCTGGAAGGGCTCTAATTCTATCTGGTCCTTAAAAATGTTATCTAAAAATAATCTAAACTCCAACACTCAGACTAAGGCAGGAGAATCAACTAAAAACAAACAAAAAACCCCTGACGGAGTAACTTAATGCAGAACAGGGCATCTTCTGGATGTGGCTCAGTGGCAGGGCACCCACCTACCATACATACAGCCTTGATTAAATACTCAGCATGAAACAAACAACCCGTGACAAATGCATCAATTTTCAGACCCAGCTTGTAAAATATACCCATTTTCAGTCTCATTTAGCATCATGAATAACAAAATTCATCAAGTCACTCCATTTTTAATTGATCATAGATATTTCCAAAAGCAATCTAAAACAAAGGCATTCGATTAAGAGGCGATTTTTCACCATTACTAATCAAAGCACATTGAGAAATGAGGTTCTTTTATCCATTCTCAAGAAAGTTTCTAAATAACTAATTCTGGATCAAAAATCGTAATGAAATGCTGTCACCTCTGGGCAATGGTGAACGTCTCACTAATACCTAAAAAACATGAGAGTAACTCTGGATATGAAACTACTTCTGTTTGAAGACTCACATGATGGAGCTGGAGGGGACAGCTCAGCAGTAGAGTCCTAGTGTACCATGCCCAATGCCTTGGACTGGTTCTCCAGGATCACAAAACAAATAAGGAAAAACTTAGACCAAGTCAACGTATATTTGTAACAGCTTTTTAACCACTATTTCTAACTGTAGTATAGTATGCTACCAACTATCAGTTAAATATTGACAGAAAGCTCACCAAAGAGTTAGAGGAACTAATCATTCAAGACCCTATGTTAATTTGCCCTTGCAACTTTGTTCAGTTATTAAATAAGAAAACCCTGAGGCCTGTAAGTATAGATCAGAGGTTGAGATTAGCATGTGCAAAGCTCTAAATTCCACTCCCAGGTAATCCTAGTGTTCAGCTACTGTTCAGTGAAACTATGATACCAAATTCCATTTGAATTATACCAGCAAAAAGCTGCTCAAAGGGGCCCAGAGGCCATCAACAAGTCCATACAAACACAACTAGAAAATAATAACAGAATATGTGACTCTGTATTAGAGGAGACATGGCTAAAAACTTTGCATGGGTTAGGTAGTTACGAGGAAGAAGGGGAAAGGTCTGAGGAAGGGGCACTAAAGCATTACAAACACACCAGATAGCTTTGATGCTTACTCCTCAATTTTGGCTGGCAAAAACATTTTGCCCATGAATTACAAAAAATAGGTGAGCTGATATTGCCATGCCAGTATCATTTATGTATGTTATGTGCATATATACCTCTTCTGTTTTGGTTTTCTTAGGACTTTCTTCTTTATGGGGTGAGGATGTTCTCTTGACTCCTACTATAGGATTAGGTATTTTTGTTGCATTTCCTGAAGGTCTAGTTGATGGGTTTACCAGACGTGTTGAGGAAACAACTCTGGAGACCGTAGGCTTTGGTGGTGGAGAAATGGCTGGCTGTGTGGCAGTTTGAGGAATGCTTTCACTCGATGGACCTGAACAGAAAACATGAGCACAAATTAATACAAAACAGAGTTCCAAAGAAAATTGACATTTCTGTGAATTTGACCTCATGAATAATATTATATGCAAACAATAAATATCATTAAAAGCCAGACACAGAGGCATAAGACTGGCAAGAGGATCAGGTTTGAGGCTGGGCTGGGCTACATGAAATTATCTCTTAAAAAAAAAAGCAGTGCCGGGTGTGGTGGCGCACGCCTTTAATCCCAGCACTTGGGAGGCAGAGGCAGCCGGATCTTTGTGAGTTCAAGGCCAGCTTGGTCTATATAGTGAGTTTCAGGCCAGCTGGGGCTACATAGAGACCCTGTCTCAAAAAGACCAAGAAAAAAAAAGTTTATAAGTATGTCTCGTGATGTTAATTTATGTCTGTTGTCATATCATAAAATATTCTTTTTTTTTTTTTTAATTTGTTTAAAAAAAAAAGTGGCTAGAGAGATGGCTCAGGTTAAGAGCACTTACTGCTCTTGCAGAGAACCCAACTTTGGTTCCCAACACCCACATACATGGCAGCTCACAACCATTTGTAATTACAGTTCCACAGGCTCCAACACCTTCTTCTGGCCTCCATGAGCACTCCACAAACATAATGCATAAAGAGACAGTGTGTGTACATGCACACACACAAAATACTTAACCCAATTTCCAATATGAAGTGTAAAACCAATTATAATAAAAAATTCACAAGTATGACAAACTGAACTCCTTACCCCCTGTGCTTTCACTGGAATTTACTTGGGGCACAGAGACTTCAGTAGCCTGTGTGTTGGTCACAGATGCTGCTGTCACAGCTGGAGCAGGACTGTTTCTGCTAAAAAAGAAAAAACAGGGAGTTGGGGGGGGTGACGAAAAAAGTAAAGAGAAGGGGGGAGGGACTGGTTTTTAAAAACAAGCATAAATCTTAATACTTGCAACAGATCTAAATTAAAATATTTGTTTCTGATTGCCAGGTTTTGGTAACTGTGAGTTCACTGACAAAATGCCTATGTAAGTAATCTGGAGGGATGAAGGCACTAATGGTCATTCATAAATGAAGGCGTATCACCCCCAAAATAAAATGCACATTAGGATAAGATTAAAAACTACTATCCTCAAAACTAGGAGTTAAACTACTATTAAGAAGATAAATCAGTGCCAGGTGTGGTGGTGAACGCCTTTAATCCCAGCACTTGAGAGGTAGAGGCAGGTGGATCTCTGTGAGTTCGAGGCCAGCCTGGTCTACAGAGTGAGTTCCAGGTCAACTGGGGCTACAGAGAAAACTTGTCTCAAAAAGACAAAAATAAATAAATAAATCAGGAGATGGAAAGGGAAACTGGGTCAAGATAAACAGGAAAGGTAGATGTGTTCAAGGTACTTTATTTGCATGGAGGAAAATTCACAATTAAACTCACTGTAACTAATACATGGTCATTAAAAATAAAAGAGATGCACAGGCAGAATAAACATGTGACTAAACAGCAGAATACTCTCCTGTGAACCCCCATCTCCTCCCACTCCCTTTCGTCCTTACCCCTGAGAGCTGCCAGAGCTGTTCAAGGGACTGGTCTTCAGAGCACTAGTGGGTGAAGGCACAGACATACTGTTGTCGCTGTCCATAGACAAGTCAAGGCTGCTGTCATTCAGAGCTGCTAACTTGACTCCTTCAGTTGAATGCTACAATCAAGAGAATGCTTCATTTAAATATTTTAACACATCCAGCTCTTTTGAAATATTTAACTCAATTTATATGTGATTTCTACTAAAAAGATGCTTTTGGAAGCCCTTGTCAAGAAATTCTAATGGACTCTCATATGAATATTTGAAAATTGCTGTTCTGACTTTTTTCTAGTTGCCTGTCTAGAACTTGTAATGCTAATTACTCTTGCCTTTACTTCTCCTTCACATCTCCCATTCATGATTCAAGGA